TTTTTTTTTTTTTTTTTTTTTTTTTTTTTTGAAGATACGATAATGCTGCCGAGAGACAGGAAAGATTTCTCGACTCAGATTGTGAAATTTGGTTACTTGAATATTTAGGAGGTGTAGAAATGTATTATCTTTATTTGAAGATTTAAATTTAGAGTTAGGTTTTTGATGGAAGGACAAGTAGAAAGCATTTCTTTACATTGTTACTGTCGGTTTTTTTAGTGGAACTATTTGGAGCATTGGAAGATTGGTTTTTGGGGGTAAGCAGGAAGAAAAATCTGATTGAAATTGTGATAAAGCAATTGTAGTTATCGGAGAGGCATCGGCAACAGGTTCAGCATGTGACCGTACAGTGTAATTCATGCATAATTGATAGGTGTTTTATGGAACCGCCTTTATCAGCGAAATCGACTTTTTTGGACATGACAGTAATTTAATGGCAGCTATTAAAAGAGCAGGATGAAGAAAAATTAAACGTTTAAAAATTCTACCATAGCCTTTTTATAGCACACGTATCAACTAATCAGCGGCAAGGATGCTACCCTTTTATTTCAAATGGCTGAGACTATTAAACTGAGACTTCGTAACTGTTTCTTTGGGCAACCAGAGCTGCCCGAATTTCTCGAATATTTTTTATTGGGTGATTTTCTGGCGCTTCTGTTTTTTCCTGCGTTTAAAGTGACAGCTTCTTGGCCTTCGGACAAATACATCATCTAAGAGCTCTTAACTTTCACTTTTTGCTCCGTCAGTTTTGGACCTATGTGTGGTTTTTTTGGCACACAGGTGAAACTTTAGCCCAGGTGAAGGGAGAGAAGCTTGTTTTGTTACTTCGGACTGCCAGTTCTTTGCTTGAAAATTTTCAGACCACATTATGTGTAGCTGACTTGGCCAAGTGGGATTTTTAAATTTGTGTTCTTGGAAGGGGTAATAGTAAGTTCCTGCCACCGTTGCGTAGTCTTTTATTTTTGAGACGCATATCTTTGACGAGTGGTGTAATAAATTCTGGAATCACCTTTCAATTTCTTTTGGTCTGATCTTTTGCTCCACTTTTATCATTCAGGTTCAACAATTTTCATAGCTGTTGTAAAATTCTGCGAGGCCATCACGGCCACTGATAAATCAGAAAGCAAAAATTTTCATAGTAGTTAGTTACCGCCCAGCTTGATCATTACAATTCATATCTTTATTTTTATGAGAATATATCAGTAGAATGAATCTACAAATGGGAAAAAAAAACCTATAAAGAAGACTCATTTTGGTGTATAAAGCCGCTGCTGCTGTTTTTTTCTCATGCTCATTTCATAACGGAGTGTGGTATGACCTACTGGTCTTCATCATGATTACGTTTTCTATTTATTAGTAAACAACAGCTAAGCAGTGGGTGGCAGTGCGACTCAACTGGCTGAGGAATTTACTTTAACAGTTAGTCCCTCATTTTCGTAGAAATGAGGTAGAACCATCTGTCGTGGTTACTCCAGTTTATTGTTACTTTCAGATACGAACTAAACTGCTGCAAATGGTCCTTTAACTGGAGTGATGAAGCCAGCAAACAATTAAGCACCATCTTCTGGAAGCAACATTGGCACGGCTGTTTGCTAGTTAGGTACGGCATAGCTTTTTACAAGTATGAATCTGCTGACGTGAACTCGTTAAGATTTCGTCTTGTTCTCATGTGCATCCAGTAATGGATTCCGGAGGTCGTTTGGCAAATAAATACTGGTATCATGAAAAACTAGTAATTTTTCAGTAACAAAACGCATGTCGTTTGACAAATGCAGCGTCATTTCTTCAAGAAAGAAGTTCTTGTTTCCTTTCGTTTCCCTTGTGATTTATCACAGCAAAAGTTTTTCATTAATGATTTGACATTGGACAAAAGTCTGGTTTTCGAAATTGATGATGAAAAGAAGTGGAATATAGTATACATATAATGAAATAAAATTGTTATCTACAAAATAGGAAAAAAAGAAGAGAAATAAACTGAAGTTGGAAATTTTATGCGAAAGAAGAAAAGAAAATAACGAAGCATTGCTTGAAAAGCACAGTTTTTCAGTGCTGATTTTTGATAGTGTTGCCCAAAGAATTAGGAGGGAAAAGGTGAAATATAAGAAGAGGAAAGGAATTTTTTTTTGAGTGTTGAAAATACCGAGCAAAAAAGCACCGAATTATAAAACGTGTAAATTGTCGAGGAAAAAAGGCAGCAGCAACAAAAAAAAAAAGTTGTTCTCTCAGAAGTGTTAAAGTATCACTAGAAATAGTGGCATCATATCAGCAGCTAGTCTAAGGGTTTTCTTTGCGGAAATCACAGCCACAGATTTCTTTTTGACTTTTAGACTATAAGCTCTGTAAAGGTTTGGTGGCCAAAAACAAACTGTGGAAAGTGCTGAAAAGAGAATGGCGAAGAATTGATAGCAGAGGGAGAAAAAAAGTGATCGGAGGGTAAAGTTTTGAAAATTGGAAGGTTTTCAGTGGTGTTTTGTACTGTTAACGGGTCGCTGAGCAAAAAAGATGGGGAATTGACACATTGGTTTTTTTCTTTTTGGACATAAAGCGATTAAGTTTCGCCGTTTTTTGGATGTTCAGAAGTTAGAAGCAGGTTTTGCAGCATTCACAAGGGATTTGGCTTTGATTCCGACGCTCTCCGAACTCAAAACAGCAACAATTGCAATGGGAAACCACTGCCTGCTAAAAATCTGTATTCGTTATAGATTGGACTTTTTTTCCACTTTTTTTTTTTTTGTTTTCGTCTTTGCAAAACCGATGTGTATTAGGCAGAACTGTATGCCATCGACTATTAGTTTTTTTTTTTTTTCTGAATTTGATGATCTTTGAACTTTTTAACTTTTCGTCATTTTTCCTTTCAAATAAGAAAAGAAAGTGGAGAATTGTGTTATCATTTCATTAAGAATACTGAATTTTTTTAATGTGTTTTTATTTTACTCGGTGATCATTTAATATAAAGGAGGAATGTTTGTATGTTGTATAATGTATTATTATTAATTTTTTTCTTTAGAGAAGAAATATCGAAATTTATTTTTCTTTTTTCTGGTTTTACTTTTCTGAGCATTTGGAAATAGAAAAAAAAAAAGAGCAAAAAAAATGCACTTTTTTTGGCCGATTTCTGTCGCCGTCGTAAATTTCTGCAAATTTAATCACATTTTTTTTCCTTTTAAAGGGAAAACTGAAGGACTTTAAATGTATTTGGG